CCCCAAAACCCCAAAACCCCGATAGTGTAGGATTTATTTGAATCATGAAATTAAGATTAATAGAAATTAAATAGAATTTTCATATGTTTTAAATTGAAAGATTTCTTTTCAATGCAGCTTTTTCACTTGCTTGTTATTTAACGTAAGTATGACACTTGGCAACTTTTTGTCTTTCTCATAGCCAATAGTACTACTTGAGTTAATGCCATCAAAGCTTCTTTCTGAAAGCGCTTTACTCTCTACTGTAAGGAGCTTAGGCATTATCCTAGACTCTGACTGCACATGCTGATTCTAATTGTTGTTTTAACTATTGTTATAGAGTGAATGAGGCTAAAGGTTATTTCTAGAGTTATGAGCTTTAATGCTAGCTTAGCTGTTTACACTTAGAAACTAAGACTTGACCTACAGCGGAGTTAAGTCTCGCTCTCTATTCTTTTTGTTCTCACTAAGTGAAAGGTTAGAATTAAAAGCAGACTGGTGATTTTGCGGCATGTTGCTTAGTATGCTTTTTCTCCTAATATGCTAAAGCTAATAAGGATTGGGGATCTCACCACTATTATTAACTTCTTATCTATTTGATAGCAATGCTGAGTTATTCAAGTTCTTTTTAGAGGCGACTTCGCTTGAAATAATTTTTTCAGGCTTGCCTGATGTATTTGAAGTCAATAGCATTCTCTCAAGAGTAGTCAATCTCTGAGTAGTTTACTTGAAAATGCTTGGCCTGCGCTCCCTCTCCTTAGATTATTTCATATTGTTTATTTTAATTTGCATTATCTAGTCTGAGGTAAGTCTGCTGAGATGATCTGTAATGTAGTCTATCTCGACATCTACTTCATGATTACTCTTGAAATTCTTGCTCTTTTCTTTCAATTAATTCTTTATAAGCATTTTGAGTTATGAGGCCCTGCTCTCAAAATGTTCTATTCCTTGTTTGAGAGACTCAGTGTATATAGAAGACCTTTCAATTTTAACCTATGGAGATGGCTAATTTGAGTCTTTTATTGATAATCTTTTTGCCTATTCCTCCTTAAGGGAAAAGTTTAATGACTCTTAATTCAATAATACTGGCTTCTTAGGAGATTTATCCCCAGCAAAATTAGCTTAATTTGCCAAAGCCTATTACTGTTCCATTATCTATGCTGCTTATAAGTCAAAAATCTAATCGCTAACTTTTTAAAAATGACTAAGCTTGGATAATTCAAGTTCAAGGATCTTGATGAAGTGAAACATATCCAGTATTATCTCAGATTGTATCTGACTTTCTTTGAATTTATCATTGTAGCCTTTCATCTGTTAATGCATGTTCCTGATCTCTATCATAAAGTCTACCTTTGTTTTCTGCTTCCTCTGAAACTTTATTTCAATGAGTTGCTAGAGATCTTTCATCTTGATATCAAATTGCTCTACGATTCGCTTGTCCTCCATTTCTCTTTTACCTTTTTCCTAAGCTGTTTTAACCTCGAAACCTAAAACTTGTTTCTCTAATTCTCTTATTTTCAAAGTTTATTCATCTGATAATGCCTACATTTCCTTCTGTGTTATCTATCTTAGAGTAGTAACAAGCTCATTGACTTGCTCCATGATTTAAATATTAAATGCTGGAAAAGCGATTTTGATTCCCTCTTGAATTTTATGTACAAAGGATTACTCTAGATCCATAAGTTGCTTTTAAAACTTCATCTCTGATTCATTAGCAATCTTTCTTATTTCCAGAGATTTCTCTATCTACTCCTGCTTAAATTTCTACTCATTTTCCTAGACTTTCTCATCCAAGTTGAATAGCTATTCTCCAAGTTTGTCATTAGATTATTTATTGTCTTTGAAGAGTTATTTTATCTATGCTTAGGCCATCTTCATGTCTCTTTCATAATTAGCCATACCATTGATAAATGCTTGAACTTCCTTAAGCTTCTTGTCATAAACAACTTTTATATCATCTATTTGAGTTTGAAGTCTATGATTAAGTCTTTGTAATTGAGACATAACAATCTTTTTAATTTGATTCTCATCTACTTTTGTGTTTGATTCCTCGATACCCTGCTTTTAATGATTTTATTCTTACTAAACTTATTTTTGAGCTTATTACTACAAGCTCAATGGCTATTTAGCTTAATTTTATTGCTGTTACTGGACCAAATCACTTTCATCTTTAGTTGGAGCTACTGTGATAATTGGTTGAAAATTCGTTATGGCTTCTCCTATTTCTTACTTAAATACACTTTGAATATTCTCCAATCTAACTGTGAGAGTCGCTTCCGCACTCTCTTTAAAATCGTTTATGGTAGTCTTTAGATTTTTCTTTTAGTCACTAAATCCTCTTTGCATCTCATCACTCATACTTTGTACCTCCTTCTTAAGATAATCAGTTACTCGTTTAAGAGTTGCCAACTCTTGAACTAATTTTTCATCTGTAACTTGTTTTATGATAGTTTACTACACAATATTCTATACGTTTCTGATAGTAGATCTTCTGTTTCCTACTCCATTAATTGCCGCCTAATTCTAATTAAGTCCAGTTTAGTAATTCTACATGTTTTACAATGCCTGTGCATGCTAATTTTTCTACTACTCTTATTACTATCTATACATTGTAGAATTTGGCTCAAATTAGGTCTTATTTACTCCACTCAATTATGTCTTAGTCTAGTTCAGACTTGAGTTTAAATTCTTACTTGGACTTCTATTTTATGAATTTAAATTCTGCATTTACTATTGTGCTTTAATTTGATCTTCAATCTCACTCTCCTCATCCTCCCCATCTTCTATCATCTCATTCATTGGACTAAGCTTTGATAAGTCTACCTTGTACTTGATTTCCTTTCCAAAGTAGTGAAACCTGGTTTCATCTTTTGCCAATACTATTGCTTCATTCAAAAATGAAAAGTTATCTAGCTTCTAATAAGTTTTCTTAATCCGAGCACTTGCTTTCCTTCTGGAATTTCTTATCTAAATCTTAACCTTGTCAGTAATAGTAGTATAAGGTGCTACAATATGCATACTGTCAATTTTAGCTCTATGCTTGGCCTCTTCTTTGGATTCTTTTTTATAGTGAGGACAAAGAAACTTTAGTTCTTATACAACTATCTTCTTCTTATGCGGAATTTCAAGGAGTTCAACTTTCTTTTTGTTAAGTGTGTGAAGCCTGCTAGTCAACTCGCCTAATTCTTCTTTAAATTTATTCTTGATTGCAGTTGAATAATCAATCAGCTCATTGTAAAAACTATTATCTTTGACAGTATAGAATAATGCTCTCATCACTTCAACCATACTATTGTAAGGTAAGTACTTTGATATGTAGTTTTCAATCTCTAGTTATTCTTACTTGACATCGCTGATTATTCTGTTAAAATCCATGGTATTTTCCTCAATGCTTTTCAGCTTGATGTTGATAAAGGCTTCGCTTTCCTCTTTCAGCTTGTTTTCAGCTTATTTCTCCCACTTTTTTTGATTTCTCTGCATCTCAAGTAGTTACTTCTCAAAATGCACAGTCAAATTCTTGCAGTTGTCTAAGATTGTGTTCTATCTCTACATTTTCTCCTCAAATAGGTAGTTATTTTAGAGAGCCTCTTGACATCTGCTGGTTATTTCAGTGAGTGACTAACGAACCATTAAGTTTGCATTGTCCCTCTGATCAGCAACAATTTTGTGGACTTGGAGTAACTGTTCATTAAACAAGGTGATTGAATTTTGAGTAGTCCTGAGTTGGTTTTCATGAGATCTGTGCTTATCATTCATTGTGTAGTGCTTTTAACTAAGTTCATTATATCTCTCTTCTTGTCTTTATTCCAGTCCAATAATTCTTCTTTCCATTTCTCTAAACTCCTTTTTAAGATGGTCAACTATATCAACGCTTTTCCTGATATTATGCACTTCATATAGATATCCCTCCACCTAGTAATTTATCATGTCTATCTTCTCAAGCATAGAGCCAATTTGCTTTTGATGCAGTTTTTATTAAGTACTAAGAGGCTCAAATAGCTCTAAGCACATTTTCCTTATTCTGTTTTCAGAGAAAAACAGATCGATGTTAGTTTGATCTTGCAGTTTCTTGATGGTGACCTAGTTTTTCTTGTACTCTTTCTGCCTTCTTTCCTGAGCCTTCTGAATCTTAGCTCTATACTCCTCTTCATTAAGTTCTTCCTCGCTGTTTTCATTCGAGTCATATATCTCTTTGCTTACCTTTTAGGTCTATTGAGTTTTCATTTTTACCAAAAGTAGTTGTGTTAATTTAGTTTAGTTATATTATTCTTGACTCCTGTTGCTGAAATACAAGAATTTAGTTTATTAAAATTTGCATATATATTTATCTATATCCTCATTTATAAATCTTTTCTTAACTTAGTCATTGCGGGGTTTTGGGGTTTTGGGG